CTAATCAAGTAACATCTGTCACGTTGCCTTTCTGTTCACAACAATGGTGTAATGTTGCACAGTGTGAACCTTGTAACGTCATTGTCATTCTTGAAAGCTGCCCTAGAAACAGAAGGACAAACCTTTTTGTTTTTTTGACTAGCATCCAAGTCAAACTGGTTGGGAGAGTTTTAGCAATCAGCTTCACAAAGCGGATGCTTCAAGGCATGAGACGTGCTGGTGTATCCTGCTCTCTGTTTTATTTCTTGTCGGTGTTATGTTGGCTGCCAAGCCAGCGTTCCTGCTGTGTTTTCTTGTAGGTTGGCGCTTGGAGTACTGTCCCAAATAGCTAATAGAAGCTCTCCTCTGCCTGCTGCTGGTACAACACCGGGCCTACTGGCAAACCTTGTGTTGCTGTGTTTTACCATGGTGACACTGTTACAAAGGACTCCAGCTGGTTCACAGTGGGATTCTGCGTGAGGGAGTGTGACAGACAAAAAGAGAGAAGACAGAAAAATGGACAGAGCCGTGCCGTGACTTATCCTCATCCCTCCTCTTTTTCTTCAATCTTCTTCAGTTTTTTCCTCTCTCTTAGCACACCGCCCCCCCTACAGACCTTCACCCCCAAACACAGTGCAGCTGGGCTCAGCTGTCAGTCGTTCACCATCCACCCCCTTTTCTTTATCTTTGCATTTGTTTGGCTAGCAGTGGATTTCCCCTTGGCCTCCGCACGGGGGAGCTCACTCGCTCCTCCACCAACTCAGCCAGCCCTCTTAAACCAAACCATCTGCTCTTTGAAGTGGCCTATCACAGATCCACAGATTGGAGGTTACAAAGCAGCTGTCTGCCTTCAATCTGAGCACAGTGATTAAAACAAAGGAAACAGCGCACACCTAGGCAGACACACGGAGTGGGACACAGCAATCTGTGAGTCAAATAAAGAGGTGGGCTCCAGGATTGGCAAGTTCTGTTTTTGTTTCTGGGGCTAGAAAAAATGAATGGAGGCCACTTTGTCCTGGGGGAGGGAAGGCTTTCTTTGATATTATCAAAGCCAAGGGAGGAGAGAGTGCTCTGCCAAAAAGAAGAAAAAAAAACAAGCCACTATTCACACCAGTTTGTCAGCATGAGACTTTTGAAGCATTTGTCAAATAAAAAGAGATTTGGCAGGGAGACACTAGAATTTTGTCATTCACAAACTCCTCTCCTCTTTTGGGAAGACAATGCTCACAGCAGGCTGCAGATGAGATGAATTTCCTCAAGACCATTTCCACGAAGTGAGAATGCTGTCTTTTTCTGTTCCACGCAAGATAATGAGTACTCTTTCCTGCTTGGTCTTTGATGTTATTAGGTGAGGAGATCTTTCCTTAATTATCATGAGAGGATTTGATGGAATCCTGTGTCGCATTCCTGTTTTGCTCTGTCCTTGACCGTCTCTGCACGTGGGAGGTCTGGGCGAAGTATACTTCTCCCAGCGCCTTCACTTCTGTAACAGAACCAAACTGGTTTGTCAAATCGGTGGAAACTATGGGAAACTTCACCTCACACCCCCCCTCTCGCTACCCCTTGTCTTATCAAGACAGTTGTTTTTCTCTCACTTCAGTCAGGCCGGAACAAATTTAGGGATTCACTTGTTTTCATGAGTGGAATTTTCTTAAAACGCCAACATAGTCCCTTGTACAGACCGGCACATTGTTGACAACCCCTCCTTTTGGATGGAGAGCATTTCATGGACAGGAAGTCTGCACTACCCCCCACCTACATCTTGATGTTGAGAGGCTGAAACATTACGCTGGCTTGTGTCAGTGTTATAAGTGTTTCTCTGCAGACCTGCACATTTGCTCATGTGTATGTGGGCCTGTCCAGACTCTTCTGTGTGTTTACTTAACCTGCCTTAGCATTCGAGACCGCTTATCATTCTCTGGAGTCCCTGGCTCTTGCCCTGACAGCAAGGTGGGACGCTACCCTGCCGTCTCCGGTTTCATATAGTGCTTTATTGAGCGGATGAAAACCCTCCAACTCTTCTGAGGGCCCAAGAGGAGAGCACAGACACACATGCACACACCCTCATGTGTGACTTTTAGATTACTTCAGGGGATAGATTGTCTGAAAGCAGCTGACATTTTATCCTTTGAACCTCCTGTTTGATAGGGGCAGGACCTCACTCTCTCCCTCAGTGCATCTGCATGCGTTTTGTTGTTTCTTTTTTCCCTCTCCAATTTTGACCTAAAGGGCAGTTGCAGTACTTAACAAAAATATTTGTATTCCTTTTTAAGACATTTCTACTGTGCAACCACAAACTGTTGTATTTGATAGAAAAACACAAAGTACTGCATATACATGTGAAGTTAAATAAAAATGATTAATTGTTCTCCAATTTTTTACTTGTGAAATTCTGAGGCATGTTTTGATTTTTAATAACTTTGAATAAAACTAGTGGAATCATTACTTATTAAATGGAGACCATCTGTGTGTAATTTTTTCTCAGTATAAATACAGCTTGTCTTTGAAGTTCTCAGGGGTTTGTTAGAGAACATTAGTGAACAAACGGCAAGACCGAGTAGCACACCGAATGGTTATGGCATAAAGTTGTGGAGAAACCCAAAGCAAGATCAGGCTACAGAACAATTTCCCAAAGTTTGAACGTCTCCAGGATCTTTGTTGTCTCTGTTTGTACAGTGTATGACGCAGTTGCAAAAATCTGCCAAAGACATGATCATCCACCTACACTGACAGGTTGAGCATAAATTACAGTTTGTGACTATGGCTGAATTTCAAAGGTCTTCTTCTCTGTTTGGAGTATCTGTTTACTGGATAACTGCTAGCAATTCACCCCACAAATCTGGGATTTACAGAAAAATTTGTCATGATAAAGTCATCATTGAGAGAAAGTCTTTATGCTGTGGGTTCTTCAGCACAGACAGGCTCATTGGTCACAGTGTTGTTGGGAAGATGGATGGAGGTAAACAGAGCAATACTGGTGGTTTGAGGCTGCAACAGAGTTTACCCTGGTACAGTCAACATACTCCATCTAATCTGACTTAACCTCATTTCACAACAAATAATAGAAAACAATTTCAGTTTGCATGTAAAAATCTGGTAATGATGCCCCAAAATACTTGCAACTGTAATTGCAGAAAAACTGAATGAATTATTGAACCAGAAGGGTCTGAATAAAAATTCAAAATTTTGGAATTTTTGTTTCCAAAAAACTAATAAATATTATTTGTTCAAAATAGGCCCATTTTGTAGCTTGCTTACTTAATGGATCATCTTAATTGTTCAAGTTGAGTTTCCTGCTCACATTTCAAGCAGATGACACTCTGTTGTTGACGTGAATACATGAAGTTTTTTTTTCTGTTATGCTGTCATTAATGACACTCACATTGTCAAACATGATCTCAGCACAGTGCAGATCATCAGAGGTACATTTCCAGCCTGTCAAGGTCTAACTGAACTCTTGTTTGGGATCATCCAATCACTGCTGCAGCTGGAGGCGGCAGATGACTCAGACAAATCAAAGTCAAGATGAAGTCATTCCTCTCTTCTCCTCCAGTATGTCAGGACACAAAGCAAACAAGAACCCCGGTTCTAATAGTTTTTAGACATAGCTACTGGCACTGGGTGCGGCTGGCAACAGGTTGTCTGTTGCATGCAGAGCGGCAATCTCACTTGGGTAGGATGTTTGTCTTTTACAGGGATTAAAAGAGAGCCAGGAAACCCGCTGGCCTACTTTTGCCGCAGAGCACAGAGAGAGCGCGACCTAGTTTTGATGACGGCACCATTACAGGAAGAGGGGATTCCAAGTCATAATGTCGTTAGGAGATGGCCATTTTGGTCTCTCCACCAACAGGCTGTGTTTTTGTTGTCTGCTGGAGTGTTTCTGTAGACAAGCTTCTGAGTCAGGGTGTGTGAGAGCTTCCATTGTTTGTACACGACCTGTAGCTGTAACATGAGAAGGAGGGAATGCTGACAGAAAGAATGAGCGTGTTACAGAAGACAGCTCTCATTATATTTTTTTAAAGATATCTATTTGGCTTGAATAGATCTCTATTGTTGACTTTCGTGGTGTCAATTAACCTCTGTGGTGATTACTTGTGCAAACAGACATTCATCAGCGGGCAACCATTTTGTCAGCATTACCAAATTATTTAAGATATAGTCAGCTTGTAGAGAGCTTAACCATTTAGATCAGTGGGTCAAGTCGCTCACATGTTAATCCTATTATAAGATGCATCTCAGATTTGTCAAAGTTGCCCCTAATCTGTTGACTACAACACTTGGACTATAGATGGTGAATTGATGCAGAAAAACTTTGGAACTAGTGTTATGTAATTGTTTTTAACAAAATAATTAGCTTTGCAATTAATTGCTCCTCTAACAGTTCCTGAACAAATAGCATTGCTGAAGCTACTTGGATTCATTTGTGCTCTCTATAAAATAAATCAGTTCTGGATAGATAAAGGCCAATCACTGCATCTCTAATGTAGATAATTGTGAATCAGATGCTAAAGCTTCAAGAGAGTGGTAGAAACGTCAGGATTTCATTCAAATCACATATATGAATGTAAACTTCTCTTGTTTTCCCCATTTTAAAGAATCACTATCGGGAATGGACTATTCACATCATGAATAAACTCTAGGAAAATAGGCCATCACGGATCATAATGAAAAAATTAATAAGCACCAATTTACATAATAAATATAGTGTACTTCAAAACACTTAATACATTGATTTCATAGGAATTTTGAGAGGTTGAACCAGAGATTTTGATTTTCCCTCTTCATCTATACACACACAAACACACTGCATAAATGTGCTCATTTTAAAAATAAACTCACCACCAAAGAAGTTGAGAATATGCAAATATAATCCAATGTAAAGTTTATTTTAAAGCTTTTTACGCATCATTACCTTATGGTTTTATTTACCATCAATATGTGCAATAAGCTTTTGATTTATTCTCCAGATATAAATAAGTTGGGGGTTTTTTTGTCATTGTTTTTCTGCTATTTTTCTGCAGTGTCATCATGCATCACTACATACAAAAAGACGCCTCCACCTGTGCCACCAAGGACCACCCCGTCCAAACCATTCATCTCCATAACGGCCCAGAGCAGCACCGAGTCGGCCCAAGACGCCTACATGGATGGAGGCTCCAGCCAGCGGGCCGGCATCTGCTCCCAGCAGGGGCTCTCCAACTCCACGGAGAGCATTGACAGCATGAAAGCCCTGACGGCGGCCATCGAGGCAGCCAACGCTCAGGTACACGGCCCCGCCAGCCAGCATGTCACCAACAGCACCATCACCATCACCGCCACGGCAACCACTTCTGTCTCGGCCGACAGCAAGGCGCAGAGAGAAGCGCTCAGAAAGTGCCTCTCCATCGGGATTCAGGTTTGAAGAAAGCGGAACTTTTAAACACACGTCTCAAAATAAAACTTGGCTGCGGTGTTGACAGTTTCTTCCCTCTTTTTAGGTGGACCCGGAGGAAGGAGGGCCAACAGACGAGCAATCGAAATTCCAGTCGATAGGAATTCAGGTGGAGGATGACCGATGGTGAGGTGGGGGGCACACAGAGAGAAACCGGATCAGCCTAAGGGGAGGCATGGTCTGTTTGGACTGGGCCTGTTTAGACAGATAGGGATTGTGGTGTGGGCTACAGCTTTTGATTCCCACCCCTCCTTTCACACTGACAACTCCTCAGCAGCTGTCCCCAGTTTAGGGGAGGTTGGCGTCAGAGTCCCCTCATCCAGGGGCCCCAAGCGACAGCTGGGCCAGAGGATGTGGGGCAAGCTGAGAAGGGTGAGGGGGAAGAGTTGACAGCCATCTGTTGCTCAACACATTGTGATTCAGACAACTTTGAGGGTCTGTGTTTGTGTATGTTTAGGACAGAGGAGAGAGAAAGCAGAGGGAGGGTGTTTTATTGGGTTTGTTTGCCTCAGAGTGACACAGAGTTTCTTTCTTGCTCAGTTTCAGGACTAGCAGCACAGCTTGCACACCGTTTGTCACTCTTTGTCCACTTTTATTCTCCCCCGTCAATACAGTGGACTTCTATTCAGTGACCGGTACTGGTTTTTTTACCTCCATTGTCAAGGTGCTGTTAACTTCTAGATTTCAAAGAGATCAGCTACACTCAAAGATCCCTGGGAGAGCTGAGTCCAGCATTTTTTTTTTCAAATGCACACTTGAACAGTGTCTGAGAATGTGAGGGGATTTCCTCAAAGACTAGGTCTCAACTGATCAGCCAAGCTCAGATTTCCATGAGTCGCCAAGCCAAATATTAACTCATGCAGACACCTTCGAGTCTGTCTTGGCAACGTGGGATGTTATGCAGCACAGAGCCCTTTTTCTTTCTCAGTTAATGTTTAGAGTTAGTTGAGCTTCAATTTTTTTTTTTTTTGTGGTTTATATAAACTATTTACCCTTTGGCATGCCATGCACCTACTTTCTTGGTTTGCTTGGGATGTTTTAGATTTAAGAAATGTAAAAAGAAAAAAAAACTGAAAATGACTGACCAAAGTGGTAGACTTTTTTTCCTTCTAAAATGTCTGGATATGTTCCAACTTACCCGCTTATTTCTTTATGTATGACATAGCAACTTTGTGGAGAATCTTTTAAAACATGCTGAAAAACAGCAGCAACATGTTGAGTTTTCAGGAGAGGGTTTAGACATTTTGGTGGCAGATGGCTTTGCAGTCTGAGCTCTGCAGTGACTAAGCCACAGTCAGGAAATGTCTTTGTAACAGACAGCTTGGCGTCATTGCCTTTTCATTGTTACCTTACTTACTAAGGTATTGACATTTGACTTTAAGCTGAGAAGACAAGGAATCTCATCCTTTCAACTGTCACTTTCTGGATGTGTTGTTCTGTTATCAGTCACTCGGTTCTTGTGTTTTACATTATTACTAATATTCCAGTTTTTCTAATATTTTGTGATTTAAACAATTGTACAAAATCTAACTTATATCAATTACCTCTTTGTGTTTACAGTGTGTGTTGAAAGTATCAATGCCAATTAAACTATTGGACTATATTCTTTTTGGTCACATTATTGACCCAAATTTCAATGTATTTGGCCTTTTTGCCTTGTATTTACAGGGTTCCTAAACTGTCTGAAGAGAAGTATAGAACTTTATAATCTTCCAAGTGCATAAAAAACTGTGTGGAAAAATCATTTTAAGTTTTCTTCCTTCACTTCTTATCTCATTGTCTAAAAAATTTAAAACCTAATCAAATCAGTAATGTCTGATGAGGAGCCATTTGTATTTATTTGTTTATTTGATGGTCTTTATTTTTGGTTTGATCACCACAAATTGTTCAACTCACAGATCATTTTAATAAAAATAAATAAATACAAAGTCATTCAAAAAAGAAAAAAGGGGCCATTTTGTGGCTTTTTTTTTTTGTCCTCTAAGATACTTCTGTTCATTCAACTGGATTGGATGTAGATGCCAAAAAAACAAACAAAAAAAAGGATATCACTAAAGCCATAGTAATATGGGTTATTATAGGTCATTATTCTAGATTTTGGGTTTAATTTAATATCAATTACGCATTTAATCTAAGTTTATGCAGATGCCATGCTTCTAAGTTCGAAACCAGCTTTATTACTATCAAGTTTGATGCTTTCTGGAGGTGTGGGGGTAGTTAAAAACAACCTAAGTCTCTAAGTGTTTTCAACAAGTGTGAGAAAGGCATTCCCACAGTATGGTAGTGCTACCTCCATATTTCACTCCTACTATTGCATGTTCAGGGTAGTTTAAATTATTGGTTTCCCAATTAAATATATTGAAATTTCCGGCTGCAAAATGACTAGATGTGAACATATTTTGCATGTTGTCCTCATTTATTGTCTTTCCTCCTAAAAAGCCTTTCTGCCTCTTGTATTTGGCCTCCTGTTAATCAATACACCGACCTGTCTAGGTTGTGTTTTGCCTCGCCTCTCTCTTCCCCTGCAGGAAGTTGTAGAAATTCAGCTGAAGTCATTAGAAGTGAACACCTGCCCGCTGCAGTTACTCTTTAACTGCTCTTCACACATACTTACACACACCAGGGCTGCCTGTATGCACACACAAAGCGCAAACACACACGCTGTTTGATCTGCTTTCTGCCACTCCCCCTGGTCTTGCTCTCCTGCTCTTGCTCACAGAAGAGGAGGGATGAATGAGGGAGAGGAGGTGGGGGACTAAAGATGAATGCTTCTGGATGAGGAGTGTTCATCCGGAGATGGGCTAAGGCAGGGGTGATGGAGTTATGGTCAATCGTACAGGCAGGTCAAGCTTAGGTTCTTGTGTGAGAACACTGTGGTCATGTTTGGGTCAGAGCGCGTTCAATAGACTTGGCTACTGAGTCATTGGTGCATCCATTGCAACCATGCAAACCTAACACCTGCATCCCCCTCTGTATATTGTTGTACTGGTATATTGTTCATTACCGGTCTGTTAAGCAGCATCTTGTCTGTGTGTGTGTAGCTACACAGTCACATTGTGCGGAGAATTTAGTAAAGCCTGGCAGGCAGTGGCGCAGTGCTTCAGAGCCAAACATTACACCACAGCCTCCCAGGTGTGTGAATGAGGGTGTTTTTCAAGCCTTGTACCCTGTATGTGCGTGTCGGCTCCGCAGCAGTCCTTGTAGTGTGACAGATGTTTGCACACACTATTGCTCCTGAATGAGGCAGGTGACAAAACACTACCTATGCACACACACACACGCTTAAAACGATCTGCACTACAAAAGCTATTCATCACTATCTATGGCAAGATCGCTGTGATGATGATTTCAATTTTTCACTCTCGGCAGCCCCTCCAGGAACTCCATGTTAATGAGTTGGCTGCAGCATGAAAAGAGAGACACAAACTATTCTTTACCAAAGTTCTCACACTTCTTCATGTTATATTTTATGTTACAACCTCAAATATCAATTTAGTTTCATAGGGATTTTTTGTGAGAAGCCAAGGCGAAGTGTGATTTCCCATATTAACATTCCACCACACATACAGACATCCTGTATAAGGTTTTGTGTTTCCATAGCATGACCTTGCCACTGTTACTGTATGTCTCATGTTTGATAGAGGTCAAAAGTGTCACATTTTAGTGTCACTATCGTCTCCCTCATCTGGATTTAATGCAAAGCTAAATCAAATCCATATTTGTGTGGAAAACAGAAAATGATTCCTGGTAAACAAGAGAAAAAGTATTCCAACAGCAGAATACTGCCTCCACCATATTTCACAGTAAGAGTGCTATGTTCAGGGTCATATGGAGTGGAACTGATTTTTCATCTGACCATAGCAGATTCTTTTACATATTTGTTGCATCTTCTACATAATCTGATAACACTTTATTTGACAGGTTGTGAATAAGACTGTCATGGCACTGTCATGTCATAAACATGACATAACACCTGTCATGAACATGAATAAGTCTTCATGAATATTTATGACTGTCATAAAGTGTCATTTTAAGACTTTTAAGACAAAGTTGACATTATTCAAAATATTATGACAATTTGACATTAACCAAGAAATCATGATCTAACATAAATTTATTGTAAAAGTATTACTGATTAAACTTTAAAAACTTATGCAGCTTTATGTTATTAAAGCTAAATCAACCCGTCAAGTGTTAACTAATATCTTTAGAATATAGGCCACACTTTTCAGATTGTGGATTATAAAATATATTGAAAACCACATAGAAATTATCTTCCAATTTTCAATAATCAATAAGGGGTAAGAATATGTTTGCTAGGTACTGCATGAAGTCTAATACCTTACCTTGTTTCTGCATCTGTCTGTAGTCACCGCAGGATGACCCGGTCCAACAGTGTGACCACAGCTGTGCAGGCCGACCTCGATGACCCGGCGGATGTCCCTGAGCTCCCGCTGCGGCAGTATGCCACCATGCCGCGCCAGCATTCCCGCGACGCTGCCACCTCCACCGTCAGCATCCAGGGCTCTGGGAACCACTACCATGCATGTGCCGCAGATGAGTATGGTGAGGTGGGCTTTGACCCGTCCATCCTGCCTCCCCCGGATCCCTGGATGGACAGCGTGCCTGAGCAGGCGGCAGCAGTGGAGGCCCTGGAGGCCGTGAGCAGATCGGTGTGCCCCCGGGACGGGCGCTGGTTCCTCAAGCTACTGCAAGCTGAGACGGAGCGTATGGAGGGCTGGTGCCGACAGATGGAGCAGGATGAGGTGGAGAATGAGCTGCCTGATGAGGGTAAGCTAGATAATTTGATGTAAATATCACATAAAGATAGGAATATCACCTGTATTGTAAAGTAGTATTATACGTGGTTTCGCATCATTGCATCCTCTGTAGATTTAGAGGGTACAGGCATTTGTGGAATTGGACCACAATAGCTTCTTGTTCCTGTCTCAGGCCCTCTGGCCTCTACAGACATACCGTGCATACTTATCAATAGGCCACTGCCGGCCTCAGCCCCACATGTGTCTTCTAGTCTGTGTAATGATCTTCCACCCAAACAGTGCAGCCCTCAGTGCTGCTCCAGAGCAAGTATTTGATCCTGAATAAACCCATGAGCAGCTCCTGAGTGCACGGTCATACCAGTGTGCGTAAACAAGCCCCCAGGCAGGAGGCCCTGTATTTATACCTGTCCTAACGGCGCAGCTGATTTCATGCCTTGCTGAAAATGTCACTGCTTATGCAGCTAGTGGTTTTGGTTCCAGGCAAGAGATTCTTTCACATAGTGCAGAGAACAGGGAGGGTGTCTCAAGGTTATGTTTTCCCAGATCCCACGCTACCAGACACACACACACACGCATGCATACACAAACACCCCGAGGGAGCTGAAGACTTAGTGCCGATTCATTACTCCCCTTCTCAGGTTCTGATTCTTCTAAATGTGGCATTTTAGCTTGCCTGGTAAATGATGTGCAATATGGGGCAGAAATATGTAATTTAAGCAAATATTCAATTTTCCAGGATGGATTATATCCTCTAAAGCACCCGTCCTTTTGTTACATTACCAATGCACCTCCCCTTCTATAAATGGTGCAGCATGCCTGCAGTATGCAGCTGTGTGAGTAATTGCATTGTGAATTGCGTGCGTGTGTGTCTGGTATGTTTGCGTGCGTGTGCATGCATGTGCTTCAATGTCTTTTTTTTTTTTTTCTGCAGTCCTAGGGAAGATCCGCAGTGCAGTGGGGAGTGCCCAGCTGCTGATGTCCCAGAAGTTTCAGCAGTTCCGGGAGCTGTGTGAAGAGAATCTGGTATGTGTCACCTCATCCTCTGCATGCTGTCCCTCTGTAACGCCCTCCCCCTCTTTACACTGACATCATCCTGCACAAATCATGCTGACAGGCCAGACTAGCAGTCATTTAGTATGCATCCAGTGCAGACATTCCATCTATTTCATCCATCACATATAGAAAAGATCTTACTGAGTTTAACTAGTAGCCTGATGAAGATGGATCTTTGAATTCAGACACTTGTACATTGAACTCCATACCCTTTGTTTCACAGTCTTATATAACAAAAAAAAAAACACTAATTATTGAAACTAAATTGTGAAAGGTTTTTCTTTCTGTTTTGCCCTATATAACTGCTTACTAAATGACAAGAAGATACCCTCTCTTCCTAAATATTCATATTCCTTTGTCACATGACAAAAGCATTTCAGTGTATTTAATTGTTTTTTTATTTTATTTTATTTTATTTTTTTTTTTGGTGATAGACCAATTCAAACTTGAACATAATAGTAAAGTGGAAGGAAGATGGGATACGATTTTCAGCAATTTCCCACATGTAAAAGTCTGAAATGTCAATTGTGCATTTGTACTGGCCTGTTACACTGACAGCCATGAACAAAATGCAGACAACACCTAGCTAGTAACCAGAGCTAAGATGTGTATAATTCCCATTATGAATTCTGCTGTTCTTTGAGGGCCACTGAAGTTGGTTGGTGAACATCAGTGAGCAAAGACCAGGGATCACACCGGACATTTTAGGTATCAATGTCCAGGTTATAAGCCCAATCTTTGAACATCTTAAATGGCATTTCTTAGTCCATCATCTGAAAAGAAAAGCAATATGGCATAACTGTAAAATCTACCAGGACACGGTGATCCACCTGAGCTGACAGAAGAACATTTATCAGAGAATTAGTAATGAAAAAGTAGAATGATGCTCTCCATCCATTCTGACAGATTACGGTGATCCTACATTTCTCTAATTTTTATTTGGAAAATCTATTCAGCAGTTCTATTTCATTTTCCTTCGACTTCATGATTATATTTTGGTCTTTGTTGGTCTGTCATGTAAAAGCCCAAAAATGACAATACAGTTTTTGGCTATAAGGTGAAAAAACCTAAAACGTGAAAGATTAAAAAAGAAATAGCTTCTTCATCCTCGCTTGAAGAAAAACAAGGGGTATTGTAGTTGTCAAGGCACATACTGTAAAGCAGCCCATTTCCCACTTATTACAGTATGGTGCTAAGTGTCTGATAAACGCCGCCTCCTTCAAATAGGTGCCAGTAGAAAAACCAATAATCAAAGCTGTGGGTAATCAAGCATATAAACAGTATTTGTCTGCATGGTTGTGTTCATGTGTATATGTCAGAATCGAAATGCACACCCGCGGCCCGTCTCCCAGGATCTGGCGGGTTTCTGGGACATGCTCCAGCTGTCCATCGAGAACATTAGCCTGAAGTTTGACGAACTCCACCAGCTCAAAGCCAACAACTGGAAACCTCTGACCCCCCCAGAAATTCAGGTGCGCACACATGTGGCACACATGAAATCCACAGTGCAAATCTTAAGTGCTTTAGCCTCCAATATGGATTTGGAATGCGTTAGTAACCTTGCATGCTTTCTGCTGTCATATTAGCTTTGTTGTAGCATGTATATATGTGTTGCCTGCCTGACGCCGCTACTTGTCTTGTGTGTTTTGCTCTATCTCGTTGTTGACAGTGAGCTGCTTTTGAGAAGCCACTCTACCTGCCATGCACCGTTGGGGCCTGTCCATCTCCAATGGTCTTTTTACCTCACACAAAGGCCACCATTGTGCTCTCTTACCCCACATAAATGGCTGCCACCGTGAACCATAACCTCATTTCAGATTGCATGCTCTCGCATTATGCCGCCAACTGCTCTGCATAACCTCCATGCAAAGTTGCAGTTATCCTGCTTATTTAGCTTCCGCCTGCCCCCAAAGGAATCCCAGCTTTAAGACTGTTTGTCATCCCTGTCCAGGAGAGAAGGATGCCCCCCCCTGTGCCAAAGAAGCCCCTGAAGGGCCACCCACCTCTGGCTAGGGACCGCTCGCTGGAGAGCTCCGAGCGCCAGCGCCTGGAGGCTCGCAAACGCTTGCTTGCTGCCAAACGTGCCGCGTCGGTGCGGCAGAGCTCGGCCACTGAGAGCGCAGACAGCATTGAGATCTATATTCCCGAGGCTCAGACCAGACTCTGAGACACACAGAAGCGTACGCCTACACGTCTAATATTCTACACTGTCTCATAAACACTGTAGTAGCACTGAATGGTAAGGCTAGGGTGCTAGCATAATATAATCACCTTTTCTGCCGACTTTCCAAATCACTGTGGGCTCACTCGCCGTGGAGGGTGTCTGAACAAGAATTGTACATTTACAGTATTTATTGAATTATTTATATATCTCACGCTTATTTCCTTTTTCCCAGCTTTGATGTAGCAATCCTGTTCATCACTCACAAAGATTTGTCTAAAAACAAAAACACCTCTTCTGTTAATATAAATGAGAAAGCGATCATGTCCTTGGCACTTTTACACATTTTGTCACATTACAATCACAAATTTCAGTGTTTTACTCTGATTTTATGCCATATTGCAGCTTTTACAAAGAAAGCCATTCCCCACCATGTTTCACAGTAAAGATTGCGTGGTTACAGAGTTAACATTCTACCATACATAATGTGTTGCATATCCACAGTATGATGCTGACACCGTCATGTTTCGGTGTGGGACAAGTGGGTTCACAATTCTATCGCATAATATAAACTAAAAAAGAAAAAACAAATCATAATTTTGCTTTTTTTCCCAAAATGAAAATCTGAAATGTGCAACATGTATTTGAATTAATATCATTGTACTGTACATCAATCTCTGCCCAATCTCATGTATTTTGGTTTTGATCTGGGAAGTGCACACCAAAGACTTTTTTAAAACAAGACCGCTCTCTGGAAACTGTCTGTATTTTAGGTGTTGTTTGGGGAAAAGTTCCACATTTAGACAGCACTGCATCACTGTTTAGATGACACCGCCAAGAAGCCTTGAATCTGCTGCAGTTGTCATGGCAGGTCTCTATATGGCATGGAAATTTGTGTCCGCTTTGACCCGATGTACCAGACAGTTTAAGACGGCTGGAACGCAACAAAAATCTTTAGGTTTCACATAAAATCATCTCCGTTTAAACATAGTTGTTCACTTGACAGATTCTCACACCTGAGCTTTGGAACTCTGCTGCTCCCCCAGAGGTATACTATAACGTTATCTAACAAACCTCAAACATAAGGCTTACATAACAGTCATATTCAAACTGACATTCAGTTAGACACAAGTGAAGTCTCATTAAAAGTGGGCTCATTTTTAATTAATGTTATTTAGAGGTATCAGAATAAAGAGGGCTAACTACAAAATCAGATTTCTGCATGTAGAAGTGTTTGTAAAGCTGTGTATTCTTTTCCATTCACATCACCATCACATAAAACATGATTATTTGCGGTTGCAATGTGACGTTAAAAAAAGTTCAGAGCATTTCAATACTTTTGCAAGGCTGCAACTAGATGTCTTTCTAAGCTTCATTGGAGCAGTTTAAAAGGCCGGCTCTACATGAGGCCAAGCGTTTGGGACTGCAGTCCTTCTTTTGAAGGAGCCACAGGCTTAAAGTCTGTGTGTTTGCGTGTCAAAGCGGGTTTGTGCTTTCATTCAGATCTCAAAAGTGCTTCCTATTTTTCTAGATCTTAAAGAGTCCTAATTGTCAAGGTAGCAGCATCAGCAGAGTCTGTCCTGTCTCATTTTAACTCAGTAAGACGTCTGTAAAAAGGAACCACCAGTATAACGTAACATGACTCGCATGTGGAAGTTCTTTTATTCATTTTTTTTTTTGTTTATTCCTAAACAAGTGTTGTGTTCACACACCTCCTGTATATCAGACTAAGCTAAAATACTGATATTTGGTACAATATAATATAGTTGTACTATATTTTTCTTAAATGTCATTTTCAGCCAAGAGGCGTCTTGGTAGAATTGAGTCTAGAGAAGTAGAGAGGGACTATTTCTCCTCACTGTGTGTGCATCTCTGCCTCCAAATGAAGCAACTACTGAAGGTCAGACAGAAGAATCCTATTTCTAATATTTTGTATTCATGTTTAATTTATTGAAAGGGGAGGGGTGGTTGTTTATTGACATTGTGATTATTATTATTATAAATATTAATATGCACTAACTGTACGGCCCTTATACTGTGTTTGGGTTTTGTTTATTGGGTCTTCTGCATGAAAGGCACCTTTTGGGTTTTTTTTCTTCTGTTTCTGTGATCAGCCTTAATTTCTACTACAATAGTTGAGCACAACAGCAGTCTCAGGGGAAGGGGCATGTTGAGTGAGTAAGTGTGTGTGTGTGTGTGTGTGTGTGTGTGTGTGTGTGTGTGTGTGTGTGTGTGTGTGTGTGTGTGTGTGTGTGTGTGTGTGCGTGAGTGACTGTGTGTCTTACTTCACATGAGTGTTTTAGTAAATCAGCAAATTCAAATTTCATAGAAAAGTTAATTTGCTATAGACAAAATGAAAATTTAACATAGAATAATTAAGCAAAGGGAAATATTTCCAGGGTTTTTTAGTAAATTTGATAATTTTATTACAGTTGTCAGTTGTAGTTTTCTGGCCATCTGATTTCATACACATTCATTGGGAGAAATTTTGACTTGGCAGTGTTGCAGTTACACAAGTAAGAAAAGTTTGTTTCTATAGAAGCTGCCTGTATCGCAGCATATTAAGGAAAAATTTTGTGAAAGGAAAAGCTGTTACATAGGCTAAAGTAGATAATGATTCTTATCATGTGAAAAAAATATCCTGTGAAATATTTAAATTCAAACTAAAATAATCATAATTGCCTATAAAGTGTCTTCTTTAAAATTAGGAATTTATTACTCTGTGTGTAATGAATGCCTGTATAAATTTAACATTTTTAATTTAATTACTGCATTAAGTACAGTTTCTATGCTAATCAAATTTATTGAACCTCTACTGTATGTGACCCAAAGTTCCATCTCTTGTTGTGTTTAATCCTTCTCATAAGGATTATCCCACATAAACTGAAAATAATTTCTGCCATATTTTGAACAATTTTGATGTTGGGGACACTTGACCCAACATTCTTCAACCGTAACAAGGTATTTCAGTCAGCTGCTTGAATGTGGAGACAATCCTGATCCAGCCTACTGTCGTTTTTATTAGTTTAGCTAACCGAACAGCAGGATGTCGTGTGCAATTTAGTTGTCCATTTGATCTGATAATATTTGTGCCATTGAATTTGCGGGAAAACATTTGATCCTGCTATTTTACCTTACAAAACAGCTACCTTATGTTTCCATCGAGAAAAAAAGTCATTTGTGACAGAAGTTATGATGTACTCTTACAATATGCATTTCTTTTGCTGGATGGATGACATTTTAGAGAATACACAATAAATTTGGCCAAGGCCATTTTAGTTGTTTTTTTTGTTTGTTTTTTCATTAATTTTTTTATGTATTTGTATTTGCATTAAATTGTCTGGTAAAAGATAGAACCTCTATTTGTTTTTTTTAGTGTAACATATCAATATAAACCACCTCATATAGCAGGGAATTAGAAACCAGAATGTTGAATTGTGGGCAACAATCTTGACACTTCTGAATCTTGTGATGTACACCAGCATCTCAATCGATTAAAATATCTTTGAAAGCTTAGCCTATTTTAATAATTCAATTTAAAAAGTGAAACTCATATGCACTCATTACACAGTGATATATTTCAAGCTTTTATTTCTACTCATTTTGATGATTATCACTTAACACCAATACAGTTTTAACTAAAATTGTATTAGCATTAACTTTACATGACACCAAATAAAAATCATTTTCAATATCTAATGCCAGGGCTACTGAAAGCAATGTAAATGTACATTAGAGTATATACACTTAATACTTGGTTGGGGCTTCTTTTGCATGAAACTACTGCGTCAGTCTGCTGAGATATGGAGATGAACTGCTGGTGTCTCTGTAGTTTCACAGAGTTCAGGTCAGGCAGGTTTCCTGGCCAGTCAAACACAGCAACACTTTTGTGATTGGATATTTGAATAGACTTTGCTTCACCAATACCTTTAAGCCAGCAGTTACTTGTGAGCTCTTTCACATCTCTTTACCCCTTTTACTGACTTTCATTGCAATTTCAATGTAAGTTTCTCGAACAGCTGTGAGCTGTGGTAGCTTACTGCTGTCAGTGACAACTGTTGGATGACTGTCATGTCTGCAGTCTTCTCAATGATGGCATTACCCAAAGGTTCAAGTACTTTGACTTTTTCCAGCATATTTCACATCATAAAGCAAAAACAAATATTTTTATTCAGTTCAAGTTTCCAAGACTCATGCTTTGAAAAAGTAACCAAAGGGTCTGTTGGAGTTGGGATTTGAGAGTGAGACTGAGTATAATAAAAAGCCAATGTCATTGTTTTTTTCCAAGTTGCATCCAGGTTTTGAGTTAAAAGGTACATATGGGCCAGCAGCAGAATTTTCTGAGAAACTTGATTCTCTGAAATAATGGGTATTCATTAGCTCAAAAACATAATCGTCAAAATTAAGACAAATAAAGGCTTTAAATATCTCTTAAATTGTAAAATTACATGGGTTTCACATTTTGACTTGAATGACTGAAATTAAACTTTTTGACGATATTATAATTTGAGGTGCACCTGTGGTTGGTCAGATAAATATTTGTACATAAATGAATGTTTCCCCTATGTAAATGTAAACTAAAACACATGAATAACACACTGAACAGATATACATTTTGTAATTATGTTATTACACTGTTGATGTTATGGCACATGTATAAGCTCTTATCAGCATTAAAGAAAAGAGTTATTGCTGTTATTTTGGTGGGTCCATTTCTTCTTTCCCTGTCTCCACATGTGTTTTCAATTGGAATATAATTAAGCAGATTAGTAGGCCGTTTTTGGGCGTTTCCCCTTCCGCAGGGGCAGAGCCCCATAATTAGACGGCACTCTCGGGCTCGGTTTAGCCTTGATGCTCCCGTACACAGCGCAGCTTCTGGTGATTTGTCACTCACACATCAGTCATGCTGAGAGGGAGGCACATTGGTTTCGGTGGTCACAATTGGGGTTAGGGGTTTGTGCTGTGATGGTTGTGGGAGGATGTTGTCTTTGTGTGCACCCTGGCCCAAGGTCTTCTACCATATGCATGCTTCAGCTTGGTGGTTAGGACCTACTGTTCCTAAAGGTCTCCTTAAACTTTTATTGGTGTAAAAGTTTTTAGAAAGCATAAAAATTGTAAACACTTATGCCAGAGCATTTAGGACTTAAAACACTTCAAGACATTTTTAATTGAGATCTCACAGAAACCAATGTGTATATCTCTAATATACAGAAAACTGAAAATAAAAATAGATTTTTCTTTGTTATGCAAAATCATGATTCCACTCTAGAAATGAATGTTTACTGTGATACTTATTATACTTTTCAAGAGCTGTATGTACCAATGGCCATCAGTAAGCTCCAGACATAAATTAATATCCCGTACCTAAAGACAGAATATTACATAATTTATATCCTTAGAACAAGAGGACTTCATTTGTTTCGTTATACATTTTTAGTATATTTCAAATAACGGACAAACAAATTAGCTTTTGAGCTAATGAGTCGATACAATTCTAGCTTTATGGCATGTTCAAGTGACTGAAAAATGTTAAAAATAGAACAATTTATACGAGAGCTACTTTGGAAACTAAACCTTCCAGTTTAGTTATTTATAGAGAAGTCTGTGGTTATTTACTCTGGAGACTGTGGTAGTTAGCAGTGTGGAACAAACATAGTAAAACACATGCTATAAAAAAGAAAGCATCAAATGATACATTTGATTTCTATTCTATTAAAAGACCTCAAATATTAAGTGTTTTGGGGTTTTTTTTTTTCCAAACACTGTGCTATGAGGTGCTTGGAGGTGGTGCACCACTAATGATATCTCCTGAGTGAAACATGCAGATGTCGGAACATGAACATGCATGAACAGAACAGTAAAACAGTATTTGCTTAATTCAAATGCAATAGATTAAAATGCATCGTTCCTAACAAATGTTGCACACAGGAACATCATTTTTGGTGCACTACCCTCTATCTCCATTGGCTGTGAAACAATCATTTTATTTTGTGAGAGTAGTAAACACAGTGATGATTAATTTTTTTCATGAAATAGTTTTTTATATAAACAGAAATTTTTCAGTTTAGAGGTGTTTTAACATGGTAGAAATCTTTGGCCTTGGCCCCTCTTCAGCCAATAGTCAGTCTGGTGTTAACTAACCTGGATGTATACTAAATTATGACACTATTGTAAAGAATCATGACTTGGACAATATCCACCTAATTCAACTGTGATGGCATCAATTAAGACACAATTTTAACGCTACCAATTGTTTTTCATGTGTAAGAAATACATTTTTAGCTGGTTGAAGTGGGGAAAAAAATGAGCTTTTAGCTATTTTGACAATGTTGCTGATGTACTCCAGCTCTCTGGGATGTTGACCTCAGGGACCCCAGAGACTGCTGACTGTCCAAACTGGTAGTCACTCTTTGACACTTGAACTTTTCCAACTTTCAACTCTGAGATTTATATTTCAGAATGTAAATCAAGTGTCCGAATAGACAGTTCCTAAGGGTAAGATACTGACTGATCATAGTCTCCTAAATAAGCTTCACTTAAACCCCTGTTTTTTTTTTGTTTGTTTAGTCAAAGATGTATATATTTTTTAGATATTTATTTTGAAGTTAAATGAACTAAATCTTGATAAGGCCATTGATAGAAAGTGTTCAGCAGGATTAGAATGATGCAGTTCAAGCCTTCATTTTCTGCCTGTTGTGAGCCATTGAGATGTAGACCCATCAGCCCCCACTGCCAAGAAACTGATGATGTCTGCAGTTTGCTACATGATAATTTATGCAGGATTATGCTAATTCACAGGACTAGTCGTAAAACCTCTCACACCCTGGAATGCCTGTGGAAAGAATGATGAGAGTGTCACACTGTTTCTGTGCTCCTGTATTCCATGCTTTTATTTACAGAACTGTCTAACTCAAAGCCTTCTGCTTACCTTGAAAGGGTGAAAATGTAATCTCCAAATTTAAATTGGATTTACTACTGGAGATTGAATGCACATTAAAGGGATAGTTGAGGATTTTTCAAGTGTGGTTTGGTTGAAAGAATACAGTTAGGGCCAGAAATATTTGGACAGTAACACAATATTTGTGAGTTGGGCTCTGCATGCCACCGCATTGGATTTGAAATGAAACCTCTACAACAGAATTCAAGTGCAGATTGTAACGTTTAATTTAAAGGGTTGAACAAAAATATCTGATAGAAAATGTAGGAATTGTACACATTTGTTTACAAACACTCCACATTTTAGGAGCTCAAAAGTAATTGGACATATAAACATAACCCAAACAAAAAAGTTTTTTTCTCAATATTTTGTTGCGAATCCTTTGGAGGCAATCACTGCCTTAAGTCTGGAACCCATGGACATCACCAAACGCTGGGTTTCCTCCTTCTTAATGCTTGCCAGGCCTTTACAGCCGCACCTTCAGGTCTTGCTTGTTAGTGGGTCTTTCCGTCTGAAGTCTGGATTTGAGCAAGTGAAATGCATGCTCAATTGGGTTAAGATCTGGTGATTGACTTGGCCATTGCAGAATATTCCACCTTTTTGCTCTCATGAAACTCCTGGGTAGCTTTGGCTGTATGCTTGGGGTCATTATCCATCTGTACTGTGAAGCGCCGTCTGATCAACTTTGCAGCATTTGGCTGAATCTGGGCTGACAGTATATCCCGGTACACTTCAGAATTCATCCGGCTACTCTTGTCTGCTGTTATGTCATCAATAAACACAAGTGACCCAGTGCCATTGAAAGCCATGCATGCCCATGCCATCACCATGTTTTACAGAGGATGTGGTGTGCCTTGGATCATGTGCCGTTCCCTTTCTTCTCCAAACTTTTTTCTTCCCATCATTCTGGTACAGGTTGATCTTTGTCTCATCTGTCCATAGAATACTTTTCCAGAAACTGGGCTGGCTTCTTGAGGTGTTTTTGGGCAATTTAACTCTGGCCTGTCTATTTTTGGAATTGATGAATGGTTTGCATCTACATGTGAACCCTTTGTATTTGCTTTCATGGAGTCTTCTCTTTACTGTTGACTTAGAGACAGATACACCTACTTCTCTGAGAGTGTTCTGGACCTCAGTTGATGTTGTGAACGGGTCCTTCTTCACCAAAGAAAGTATGCGGCGATCATCCACCACTGTTGTCTTCAGTGGACGCCCAGGCCTTTTTGAGTTCCCAAGCTCACCAGTCAATTCCTTTTTCCTCAGAATGCACCCGACTGTTGATTTTGCTACTCCAAGCATGTCTGCTATCTCTCTGATGGATTTTTTCTTTTTTTTAAGCCTCAGGATGTTCTGCTTCACCTCAATTGAGAGCTCCTTTGACCGCATGTTGTTTGGTCACAGCAACAGCTTCCAAATGCAAAACCACACACCTGGAAACAACCCCAGACCTTTTAACTACTTACTTGATTACAGGTTAACAGGCTTTTGAGTTACTTGCAGCCTTTGGAGTCCATTGTCCAATTACTTTTGGTCCCTTGAAAAAGAGGAGACTCTGCATTACAGAGCTATGATTCCTAAACCCTTTCTCCGATTTGGATGTGGAAACTCTCATATTGCAGCTGGGAGTGTGCACTTTCAGCCCATATTATATATAAATTGTATTTCTGAACATATTTTTGTCAACAGCTAAAATAACAATACCTGTGTCACTGTCCAAATATTTCTGGCCCTAACTGTAAGTAGCTAATATCTAATTCAGTAGATATCTCTCAAGACTTAATTTAATGTACATTAAGACTAGTTGGTCCCAGAGGCTGAAGCTAACTTCCAGTCTCAGAGGGGCAAAGACCAAAGTGTGCTTTTGACATTGTAATACCACATGGCAAATGGCAGTTGGAGGTTGTGTGCCACCCATTATCTATCAATGTGAAACACTCTGGAATGTCTGTGGAAATAATGATGCAAATGCTCAGATTAAGGTTGTAAAGGATTTACAGTCAGGGTAGTTGCTTCTACTGACAGCAGGGCACCACAAAAAATCTAATTTTTAAGTTTAAGTAACTTTTATTTATTTGTATACCGCTCTACTCTTCTATTAGGCAGTTCGTAGCTGTAACTGGGAAAATATTGTGTGTGATTCTTAGAATCAGGTGGTACACTGACTATCATAAAAAAAAAACAGACTCAATGCATATTTTATAGAATCATTAGTTGACTAAAACATATGAGTGTACTCTACAGTGTGTCAAGCCAGTATTTGGTTGTGACTACTTTTGCATCTCTCACTACTTCAATGCTGTGTGGCATGGAGATGGATCTACTAGTGAGGTTATTCTGTCTGCAAACTTTTCCTTCCACTCAATGTTCTAATGGCCTGCTTGGATACAGCACAGCCATAGGTTTCTTCAACAATGACGATTTGTTTGTAGTTTAAGCAACAAGGAATTATCACCAAAAAAATGAAGATCAATATTTAGAAAAAACAAAACTTTATTTGAATCCCATGTGACCACTTTTTTTGCCACAAACATTGCACAGTATGAAAAGAAATCACATCATTGGGCATTGTGTCACATCAATTGTACACATGATCCTATTATAGGTGAAAATGTTTGTTTTTGGTGATTTCAAAATTTAAAAAAAAAATGTCTTTCAGTTTGTTAAACAGAAATATGTAGTGTTTATAACTTTACAGTCCACTGGCCGTTGTTTTCGCTGAGTGATGGTGAGGGGTGAAGGCTCAGTCTAAGAACCTGCTACA